TTGGCATTCACTTCATCCATGAGAGATAAAAGGGCCAAACCTCTTCAGGAGGCTCCAAGCGCTTAGGAAGCAACTCTCACACATCGCTGCCCCATACTAGTCAGACAGAAGCCAAATCTCACAAGAGAAGAAATTTTCCTTATATTAGTTCTCTCAGATGACATTGTCAAAGACAGAGGGTAAAGGAAGCTTCACACTGTCATTACAGGGAATAAACCACAAGCCTCTGGATGATGCACTTCTACAATCCCAAGGGCCAGAACAGTATAGAATCACAGAATGGTTTGGGTTGGAAGGGACCTTAAAGACCATCTAGTTCCAACCCCCCTGCCATGGGCAGGGACACCTTCCACTAGACCAGGTTGCTCAAAGCCTCCTCCAGCCTGGCCTTGAACACTCCCAGGGATGGGGCATCCACAGCTTCTCTGGGCAACCTGTTCCAGTGCCTCACCACCCTCTCTGGGAAGAACTTCTTCCTGATACCTAATCTAAACCTCTCCACTCTCAATTTAATCCCATTACCCCTTGTCCTGTCACTACAGGCCCTTGTAAAAAGTCTCCCCCAGCTTCCTTGTAGCCCCTTCAGGTACTGGAAGGTGCTATAAGGTCTCCCCGGAGCCTTCTCTTCTCCAGGCTGAACAAGCCCAACTCGCTCAGCCTGTCCCCATAGCAGAGGTGCTCCAGCCCTCTGAGCATCTTCGTATGTATGTGGTAATGAGAAACCATGGGTGGAGTCTGTCAGTAACCAGGCAACAAGAACAGCTACCAAATACGATAATACTTGCGATTTCTGCCACCAGCTCCCAAGTTTTCCCTTAGTAAAAGTCAACTAGTTATGATATGTTCTTGTATTACAGTTGAGGTTTCTTCACCCTAACAAAACGGCAAGCAAAGAGACCATTCAGTCACACAAGAACATTTGTCAGTAAAGAAAATACAAATTTACTTTTATTATAACCATGAAGAGGCATTACTTTAACAAGGAGCTGTACATTCAGCACTCGGGTATACATCTATGCCAAACAAAGTCCATTCTCTTACTGCTAAAAAAAGAACACTTCTCAGCAACGCACTGCCTGTGCTTACAGGGCATTTATTGTCTCTGTATTACAGTTATCCTGACAGACAAGCCCCAGGGTACAGAATAAAGCTTTACTCTCGGACCAAAATAGGAGGCAACATTTTTATTTAAAAAAATTAAAAACAGCAAGTTTCTAGTCAGATAATATAAAGCATCTTAAATTAATCTTCGGAAAGTATTTACACTATTTGTAAACGCAAATATCTGAAACTGTACATGTTTAAACAAACATTCGTTTAGCAAACAGGCGGTATCAACCGATTGCTCTGCTGACCTTTCAACCAGCTGTCCTAGAGCCGTCCGGGTACTCTAAGAGAGAAAAGATCCCAAAGCACAAGAGTGACTACTGCAGCGGTTTACCCTTCGCCTCTTTTCTGTGCAAGGGCTGTATCAACTCACAGCTCTGTGCAGCGACCACGCAGTCCTTCTGTAAAACTTTATAAAAAACAAATATACATATATTACAATGCACTGGACGTTATTTTACAGCCTGTATTTCTACATAAGTAAATAAAAAGGGCAAGATTTTTTTTTTCTCCTTGTTAGTTCCTTTAGTTAATTTTTAAGGAGTCATGTAAGGTCCTACGAGTACCATTTACGTACCTCAGCACCACCGCTGCATCCCTTCACGTGGCAGCTTTAAACCCTGCTACCATCTTAGTCCCCAGCCTCGTGAAAATTATTAAATCGAAACCCCACCCACGTGCACGGAAAGTTCCACATATTTAAAACACCAGAACAGGTTTTATAAAGAAGTTAAGATTCCGCCACACGAGTCAGCGTTTTCTTTCTGCGGTGCCGCACAGTAAAGACTCGCACACCGAGACACCCTACGGCCGCCTGTAGTGTCCCGTTCCATCAAGGGCCAAGTGTTTAGCGTTCAGCTGTCCGAAGGAACGGCCAAATAACCCACAATGAACACCATGTGCTGTTTACCAGTTACCCAGTACCTATCCCCTGTTCACAGTGCTGATTTGACAGGCTTGCACATCTGATTTCCAGCATCCCCACACATCCCTGTTAGCACTTACTCCAGCAGGCAACGGCTGTAGTTCCAGTCTCCACTTTAAACAACGCACACCACCACGCGATCTCGGCTAAGGCCAAAAAACTCCTCAAAAACCAGGTATCTGAGTATCTCAACTCTAAGCCCTGCAGCAGAGCATCTGAAAACACGCCGTTCCCTCGCAAAGGACAGGAATTATATTGCATAGCTTTCCACTGCAGATCCCAAGGAACTGAGATTCTCCACATGGAGTAAGGTTAGAGCATGAAACTTCAGGTCAGACCTCACAGCTCCCAGTCACAACAGTGCAAGAAAACCAGCACAACCCGTGTTTCAGGAAGTGCTTCACATGCAGGAAATGAAGTTTTGCCAACTAAGAACCCTGTGAGTTACGCTCAAGCACGTGGTGGATTACGAGGATTTTCGGGGGAGTCAAAGAAACATCAGAGCGTGCTGAAGTCAAATTGTCATATCAATGTGCTTCTCTCCAAGCCTTGCAAATACCTATTACTGCTCCCATTTGATTCCCCGCGCTTTACTTCCAGCGTCATGGAAAGTGCTGGTTTTCACGGCACACATCAGCTTATTAAAGGAAAGCAAGAAAGGTTTTTACATTAAACAGGATTTCAACTTTGAAAACATCTGGATAAGGCAGCAACCGAGTTCCCACAGGAGTGATCAGCAAAGGGGTTTGTGTTTTGTTTTCATTCCCCCCACACTTCTCGAGCCAACCAACAGGAAGACCTTTAACAAATCAATAAAACTGGGGGTTTTTTTCAGGGTTTTTTTTCCCCCTAAAACCAGGGTTAAGAAGCCTGGATAGTTTTGATGCAGACCAGACTGCACAGCGGGATCCTTTGTTTACTTCAAGCGGATGTCTTTGCATTCCCTTCACTGCCTGGAATTCAGCTGAAGCTTGTTTCACACAGCCTCGCCGTTGGGCTACTTGGACATCGATAAAAGCAAGTTCACCTGAAAGACAAAAGGAAAGCCTGTGTTAGAGCAGTTAAGTTTCAGAACTGATGTCTTATAATTTATCCTTTACACAGGATTCCTAGGAAGCACAGAGTCTCAGGTGAATCAGAAGACAGCTACAAAACAACTGGCCAAAATTACCAGTCAAATGCCTACTCACAGGCGTTTTAAAATGCAGTTGACCATGCTGACTAGTCATTTCTGTGGCAAAGTTTCTAAGATGACTTCATGCATTGTCAAGGAATTCCAAAAAAAGTGAACATCCACCTCCGATATCTGAGATGCACCTGGGATCCTTCGCAATACTTGTTTCCCGCAGATTACCATATGGTTTCCCATACACTCCAGTTTGTAGAAGCGATTCTACCAATTAACAGACAATTAGAGGAAGCCATCTTCTCTAGGATAACCCCACCTCCTTCCAGCGCATCACTCCCACTCCGTGTTCCAGGAGAGTTATCACACATCCCTGTGGCCACATTCACTGCAGACAATGTCCTCTAATCCAAAAACCGGATTATCTGTTTAAATATTGGCATCCTGGGATAATCACAATTCTATCCGCATTCCCTGGACCGCTAAGGTCAAAGCAAGACTTGTCAAAACCTACTTGGTTTCTGTCCGAGCATCCTAATACAGGGAATTCTTAACCGCAATCATCTCTGAGACTACAGACCTTATTACGTAGGGTTACATTTCCATAAACATCTGCGCATTTTCCCAGTGGGATTTACTCCAAATGAACCCTTGTAATTCTTTCTCATGCTTGCTAAACGTATCGCTGCTTTTTGCACGTGTCAAAAGCAAGACTGCCTTCGCACGCGCAGGCTTCACGTGTATTCACCAGCTTTGATCCTCCTCTCAAAAGACAATGACCAGAAATGGCAAAACTCTGCCATGAAGCTGTACGACTCAATCCTCAGCAACATCAGTCACCACCTCCAGTTTAAAAATTCTACTGGATATTCATTAAAAAACACAAACCAACCCCACTTTTAGCTGAGAGCTTAGAGTTCAAATAAAGCCCTGAATTTATTTATTATCATCCCCCTTAATCCTGGATGATTAAAGATTCTGAACACTAAAAATATTAAAAATTAAAAGAATGATGTTTTAAAAAGCCAGTCGCATGAAAGGCCAACGGATAAAACAGGGAGCTTCAATATATACCTGTTCCATTGAAGGACAAGCTATGATCTGGAGATCTTCGTTACTAAATTCTTCCTTTAACAAAGCATGGAGTTTCTGGAACATTTGCTGAATGTTATTCTTTTAAAAGAAAGAAGAAAAAACGCAATATTAGAAAAAAAAAAAAAACCACCCAACACCCATCTCAAACATGAACTGGAATAAGCACAATGTACGTGGACATGACCAGGTAGGGAGAAGCTGTCGAGCTTGCAGAGCTTTTCTTCTACAACAAGCCCCAGAGAGCCACAAGGGATCCATGCTGGCTGCCAGAAAAACTTCACCTACCGTTTGCTAAACTGAAACCCTGAGTCCTACACACTTAACCTGGAAGCTTAAGATTGGTTCTTTCTGTTGGGTTTACAGGAGGTTCTCCCACTGAATCTGTGCCATCCTCTCTGCCTCCAGTGCTTCTGCCCAGCAATAACTGGCCAAGCTGTACTGGAGTTAATTTTCTTCCCAGTAGCTCACCTGGTGCCGAGTGGAAGCTGCGTAGAACAAACGGCACCAGCTACTTCCCTATAACACACGTGTGTGCGTGACGAAGGCTGAGTACAACGGAGAGCAAGACGGCTGTTTTGTTGGGGTTTTTTAAGCTAAACATATTATTAGAATTCTTTATTTATTTCAAATTTCATCTCTCTGTTCAACAGTCTCCTCAGGTCAGGGACACCACAGTGACTGGAACGGTCTGTTTGCTGTTACATGTGCATTTATCACACGTTTACTGGCTGGACTGGTGGCCTAGAATAACTCCAGGGATATACAAATATGTGTATGTACATGTATCTGTATACATACTCTTACACACAGACGCATACATACATTTAGATAGTTACGTTCTACATATAACCATACACACAGAAATACAAGGTGACCGATCCCACAAAATGGGCTTGAAGTCTTTAACCAAACGAAGGCTCAACACCTACAGGAACACGTTTAGCAGAACTCACCCGAACTGGCTTAAACAAAATTAATTCCGTATCTTTATTGGACAAGTACAACGACATGCTTCGTAATGTCGACGGCAGCTTTGTTTTTATTGTCTTGTAAGTGGAAGAGACCAGATCGTTGATCTTTGCTGAAAGGAAAAGAAAATATGCTTAATAGGCTAAAATGGCATTCGGCGAGTTGAAGTCTATGCTCCAGAGCGTCAGCTCCGCTTTACCGGGGCTGATCACAACCACAGGTTTGAGTGACAGGGGAAGAGGGGGTGACTGGACTGTGCAGCATCAACACATCACACAACCACAACATGTCATACACAGTTTTTTTCTTTTGGGACCTACTCAAGACATCAACCTCTCCTTCCCTGCACAAAAGGCATCCAACCCATTTCTGCAAGCTACCACAGTCCTCCTGAGGTTCCCAAAGTCACAGCCTTCCCACACCAAAGTTCTACATCAGGCTCCACCCCGCTAGAAAACTTGCGTGGAAAAGAAAGGGCTGGGAAAAACTGCGCTTGTAGAGAGAACAGCGTACCATCAACTCTCTTAATTGACCACAGGCCACGTCTGGAAGAAGAAAGGCTGCACAGCCATCTGGATTTTGAATCCGACAAGAATCCTCTCTCAGACAAGACCTCCTTTCTTACGGCTGGGTATTGTAATGATTTTACAAGATCCGTGCTTAAAGGTCAGGGGAAAAATACATTTCATCGCTCTAAAATACTGAAGTTAATATACTATGTTTGGTTTCCCCCCCTCCCAATTTCTACCGTATCTCAATTTCTGCCTATTACTGCTGCCCAGACACTTGACTCCAAGAAACAGCAGAAGCTCTGCTTAGAGCTGCCTCTACACACATAATTATCTCCAAACAAACATTAAAAATGCTTCTGAAGAAGCAGGAGATGTTAAGTAGAAGCTCGAATTAGCCCTTGAGAGTGTCTGACCCACGGAGCAGCACTGAATTATGAATGAACGTGGCTGGCTTTGCATTTTATGAACATGATGCAACAGAAGGTTCCAATGTATGAATTGGAATAATCAGATTTCTCAGTGTCAACCAGAAGCACAACTGTGTAATGCAAAGAGCAAAACAACCCCAGAACATCTAATCTACTCCAAATGTTCCTCTGAAGCATCAACATTTGAGTTCTTAAGAAGAGGGAAACAAAGGTGGATTCCATTTTTGCACAGTGACAGGAAAACTGAGAAGGAAGCAGGTACCAAATGTACAGACAATAAAAGCTTCAATGCGAGGTTCATTTTTTCCTAGAATAGCAAAAAGCTTTATCTTAATGTAATCAAATAATTCCTTAAGCACATTCCCTATGCAGTTGGGGTAATGCTGTTTTCATGCAAGAACAGTCACAGCTTGAGAAATACCTGAGTCATTCATCTACTGCACCAATTAAATACATATTCTGAAGTTTGTCAGGGTTTGATGTAGAGGTATCCTCAGACATTTAAACTAGCACACAGGTAAAAATGGAAACCAGGATTTTCAAGAAAAAGGTAGACAGTTCTCCAGTAGTTAGAAATTTTTCAAATCAATCACAGTCTCCCAGCCTAAATCGATCTGGCCTGTTTTTCGGATTTCTATGTTTTAGAAGAGAGGCACAGAGACAAATGACATTTTGAAACACTCAAGCCCCACACAGTGCAGCTTATATTGCTCCACCAAAAATGGTGAATGGAAAGGGTCCTTTTTCTCCACTGATGAGAAGTTTTTAGAAGAAGTCTCAATGTAGCAAATGATCGTGACTTTATTAGCCTACAAGCACCTCAGAGGTAGCATGAACATAAAACAAAGCAAATACCTGGCTGTGCCCAAGGTTGCTGTGAAAGGCTGTACCTGGGACCTCCTTGAGTGGCCATTGTCTTTAAGGCAGCTACCTAAAACACGTACAACCAACAAAATGATGTTTCTTTCAGTTGGATTCACAACAGTGACCAAGTAACAATTGCACAAGTCTCTTAGATACCACACAAGTCTGTTAGATATGGTTGTGTATGGAATCCCTGGCTGTCTTCAAGGCCAGGCTGGATGAGGCTCTGAGCAACCTGGTCTAGTGGAAGGTGTCCCTGCCCATGGCAGGGGGGTTGGAACTAGATGGTCTTTAAGGTCCCTTCCAACCCAAACCATTCTGTGATTCTGTGGTTCTATGAATCTCCCCTTCTCTCCTCTCTTCTATGCCCTGACTTAACACCACACAGGGGAGGCAGCTTGACAGAAGCGCCATTCAAAATTACAACCATAATCAGTCCTTGAAAGTAAAATTCAAAATGGGATTAAATTTACAAAGATGCTTAGGCACCTAAGGATACAAAACCTCAAAAGAGATTTACGCTTAAGCAGGTTAGTCAAACTCCCCAAATTCCCAATAAAACATTAGGATCACTTAGACAACCTATGAATCTCGCCAGTTACCCACCTATATTTTAGGCATGCTGGCCCCTCACCCCTGCATGACAGGCATCAGTAAGTTTAATACTGTCATCTTCTAAATTCTCAAAAAAACCCCATCAGCTGGGATATTTGTGATATCCGTGCAATGCTGTAACCTCAGTATCTGAGATGTCATGACACTTTTCTCAGGACATAAGGACCTCCACATCACACTTTCTATTTTCCAGAAGTAACAGGTCCTGCTGTGTGGTTTTCCTATGATGCCTAGAAACCCTGAGCTCTAGAGCAGGTTCCAGAAAGAAGTGCACTGTAGCAAGGTATCTTTTTTGTTCCTATCCTCCGGGATGCCTAATCTTTCTGACCAACTTTTATCAGGAATTTCTGTCACAGACAAGACCTGGGAAGAAACTCCTGCTCAGCAAAACACCTCACTGGTGTAAAATATGTTGAGAACAGAAACTTTTGCCACACTTCACAGCCATGCTCAAGAACACAACCCAAGCATGACCCCAGATTGGTTTTGAAGGCTTACAGATTCCAAGGTAGGAGTTTTCCTGCATGCAGAAAAGCTGCTGCCACTTTTCACAGACCTGTTTCAACTCAATGAAATATTAAAGCTTTTTGATAGAAGAGCGTAAGGGTTGCTTTTAAAAACAAACTATGCAATGTGCCTTTAATCCATTACTCTCAAAAATGCCTGAAAATTTGTTGTTGGAAATTAAAAGGGAAACCCAACCTTAGCGTGGGAAATGCCATCATCTTCAGCTAATCAGACAGAACTAGCAGCTTCTCTTATATCCAATTTAAATACTAATTCCCTTGTCCTACCAGCATTTCAGTTAGGTTAATGAACATACAACTTGTTTGTACCTTTGTCATGAACTCCTCCAGCTGTTCTATAAACTGTTTGGTTTGCTGCTGAATAAATTGCTCACAAGCCGATTTCAGATGACGATCTACATCTTTCTTAGAGTCGATGTAATGTTCTCTGATTTCTGGAGTACCCTTAAACAGAAGATAACAATTCTCTCCTTTTTATTTGCCAGAGATCACCACCCGCTTAAATGACCCCATTTTTGTAAATGCAATAAGACTCCGTATTACCTCCAGTAAGAACTGTATCAAGGCGTTGTTGCTGTTTAGTCTAAAAAATCTTGAAACTGTCTTAGGGTTCAGGATTTTAAATGCCGCATCTGTGAAGCAGAAAGCCACTCACACTGTAAGTCAATGGGATTCAGATGGAGGAATTAAAATCTTTAATCACTCATTTATACATAAAAAACAGCCTAGCAGGATTAGGACTATAACATTCATGATTCCAGGGCCGTTAGATGTGGATGCACAAATGCATATGCACAGAAGCACACAAAGCTTGACCCAACTGCACCTATGGTAAACCTATGAATCCAACAGTGACACCACCTAAACCGAAAAATACATGACATGAACCTAACAAGTGACTGCCACGAGCTGTAGCGCTACCCGCACGCAGACTGTGCGAGCTCTTCTCTTTTTGTAACTATATCTACGAGTGAAAGATTTTACCTAAGCTATGCAGTTAAGCATTTACAAAGGATATGCAGAATTTGGCCTATCTTGCCTGGGAAATCCAAGTAGAGTTATATGAAATAACTTAGAACTGCCACTCTCTTCCTCTGTGCTTAATTATTTTAGTTATTAGGACTAAACAACAAAACATCAAGATTGATATACATTCATGTTTATGGTTTCTACAGAAGAAAAGCAACAATGTCTGTAATTAACACAAAATACTGCAATTATTCCTATAGTGTTAACAGGATGTTGTCAACCTGAAATCTAGTCAAATTGGGAAAAAAAAAATGATCAATACAGTTCCAAGTACAGCTTACTGCCCTCATGTTATTCATTTATCATTCTACACGTCCATCTGCTTTTGGTTTTCGCATTTCAAGAGCCATTCTGCACCCCTCCTGCTGTATGAAACCTGCTGTATAAAACCAGGGAAGGGAAACAAGACATAAGGGTCAAAGTAGTGCTGTCAAAGGCACTAAACAAAGAGGGAATACCAGATACGCAGGCATGTCGGCTTTGCACTGAACCAAAACTCTGCACTCATATGCAGTTAAAGGAGTCCACAGAGAAAGATTAATTTTGTTCTCTGAATTACTTCCCAGAAACATCAGTGATTCCAAAAAGAGCTTAAGTTCTTGATTTGACAGTGTGAAAGTCACTTCTCCCCACTGTATACCTCAGTTACATGAACCTTAGCATTATACTACTTTAAAAAGCAAAATTGGGTGGAAGCATGACTTTTATATTAAGCAGTGTCCCTTTATCTATAAACTCCAATTATATCTTAAATCTGCGTGCAGAAAGCTTGGCTAGAACACAGTCAAACTCCTATTAGCCATGTTCCAGTACCTGAAGGGGCTATAAGGAAGCTGGGAGGGGACTTTTTACAAGAGCCTGTAGTGACAGGACAAGGGGTAACAGGTTTAAATTGAAAGTGGGAAGGTTTAGATTGGATGTCAGGAAGAAGTTCTTCATGGAGAGGGTGGTGAGGCACTGGAACAGGTTGTCCAGAGAAGCTGTGGATGCCCCATTCCTGGAAGGGTTCAAGGCCAGGCTGGATGAGGCTTTGAGCAACCTGGTCTAGTGGAAGGTGTCCCTGCCCATGGCAGGGGGGTTGGATCTGGATGATCTTTAAGGTCCCTTCCAACCCAAACCACTGTATGATTCTACAATTCTACTTTCCTCCTACAATTCATTTCAAATAAAAAAGCCCTCTGGCCTATGCTACACGTACATTGTGTTTAATTCTTAATGTAATTTTTTCAACACCACCGCCACCCCCCAGTATAAAGAAAGTGTTTTGCATTACTTACCACTACCATCTGCAAAGCACTGGCTGGCACAAAAATTTATTCAATTAAACGAAGGATGGAGAACAAACTTTTGTGTCAGCCAGGGCAAGACACCAAAAGGATGTATTTGCCCTTTAACCCCCAGTCAACTAGAAACTACTCAACAGGTCGGAGGTTTCATTGATGTTCAAATGCAACAGGTGAAACGGTTAGTGTAAGAGTCGCTGGCTTCAGAGTTAAGACAGCAGCATATTAGAAGGCAGGAAAGAAAAGTTATTGCTTCAGCTCTCTCTTCTGGAACGAAGGAAGAGAAACTTGACATGCTTCCAATTACTTCTCCCATTATCTTATAAACTTGACCAGTGTATGACAGTTCACTTTTCTATTGAGAGGAGAGTTTTTACGTACATTTTACCAAGGAGCCATAGTACAATTTTTAAAATCATGACCACCGGCCACTACTCTCCATTTTCCCTTCCTACTACAGACATGGTTGCTACATAAAACTATTCAACAATACTGCTTATTGAACTCACAACCTAAGAAATCCTTTCCAAAACAAAACCTCACAGAAAGGTGTAGGAAATCTTACTTTGTCCTAGGCAAGTCAACCGCGTATTGTTAAATTCACCTGCTAAACAGCAGTAACGAAAGACATTACTTTAAAGGGACAGAAAAGGAGACAGACATCCTTGTGCAGGAGAAATACAGATTACTTAGTTGTTCTTGAAAAGGATGGGATAAACAAGTTAGGTCAGCAGCAAAAAGCAGTCAAATGCATTTCATACAAAAAGAAAGAATTCGTTAGATACATCTTAAATCACCGTGAATAAGAGAATGGTTTTTTGGGGTTTTTTTCAGAGGAGATAAGAACAAAGCAAGAGATTAGAACAAGAGTACAGGTCATTGCAAGTGAACATAAAATAAACCCAGAACTTTTGCTGGCACATTAAGGGAGGACAACCCCATCCCATTCTGTAGCCAGCAACTGTTTAGTACCTCTAGTTTTCTTAAGGTCCAGGGAAATTTCCTTAATGGTGAAATCAGTGTGGAAAGGAGCAATTTGTTCACGAAGAATCAAAAGGTGTTTTATTAAGAAAAGCTGTCCATCCACCTGGGTCTACAGCACAAGAGAGAGAACATGCATTACATGATAAAAAAAATTAAGAGCAAAGTTTCAACACCTCCACTTTTACCAGTTACTTCCCCTAGCAAAGTTAATACTAATCATCTTACTAACAAGCCTTTTCCATTACTCTGCAGTGCCATTAACTACACTCTGGGATCCACAAATCCCACTTCTGTGCTGTTCCTAACACATGGCTCCCGAGAAGCAGACTTTATTCACATTTCTTAGAAGAATTAGGTTACACAGCCATGTTACTAAACACCCACATTAAGTACAGGTATCCATTATTGGAAAGATACAAATTTAATCTTCGTAAGAGCCAGGAACTATTTCATGCAATTCACATAATTTATAGTTGAAAAACATGAGCTTCTAAAAACTTTTCTAATAATTGCAATGATTAAAAAAGCCAAACAGTTAATGTTTCTGTAATAACCTTGATTAACCGTGCTGTTGTGCAAAGGTCTTACGAGGCATTTTTCTCATGTCATTAAACACAAAGCTTAGCTAATTTCTAAAGAGTACAGCAAAGATACAAAGAATAAAACAAGTTCACACCACCAAGACCATCAGTTTTGCACTGCTTGTTACTTGAGCTATGTGCTTTATACTGCATGATGCTTTTAATCTTTGAAGTTGATGGCTCATTGAGGCAAATGGAGGACTAAAGAATTCAAATTTGCTTTCGCAAGCTGGAAGAAGGTTTACTTCAACTACTTAAAGTAACAATGAGTTGATGAAACTGCACTGAATTCTGAACACATCAGATCAAACCTTTTGCTGACAGTTCTGATGGAGAATACTTAACAAATCCTCCCAGTGAATTTAATACTTAGCAGGACTTTGGAAAATTCAAACAATGGAGGCAGAGAAAAGAAGAGTAACAGGTAGCAAAAACACATATAGGGAGCAGAGACTTCTAGCAGGAATTTTTCTTTAGGTATCCCTTGATTGCATTCACACAAGTGCAAGCAGCTGGTAAACAAGATTGCTATTATTTGTGTTCCCCCTTTTCAGATAGGCTAGCATATGAATCATCATCTTCGCTTTAAATCCATTAACTGTAAGTAAAAGCTGGCAAATTCATCAGGTCTTTAGGGGCACAGCAACATGCTTTCACTGAGATTTCAACAGAATTCTGAACCACTGCTTCATGGCTTTAGGTATACATGGGGAAGGGAAAGAAATCGCACCCAAAACGCAGATTCTGACCTTGTTTTTGCCGATAGAATCAGCAGCTCCCAGCAGCGAGTGGATGCAGGCAGATAAGGCCTCTTGCGATAATCCCTGAAACACTGCCCTCTGCAGAGAAATCAGACAGAAAAATAAAAGGTGTTGGCAAACCTTAAGCAGAAGAGTTGTAGCTAGCGCAGGACGCGCTTGCCAGCGTGTAAAACTCTAGATAAGCTAGCTACAAACATGTTGTCTGAGTGTGGAGTGTCTAAGGGTGGAGCGTCCGTGTATAAAAGCTTGCTACAGCACTTCATTAGACTGGATACTGGCCTAGACTCCGGCATGCCCCGTTCTCCCTCCAGCTCCGAACTGGCACCGGGTTAGTGACACTGACAGTGACAGCTAACGCATTCACAGCTAAGGGCACGAACAACGCTTCCCAGGTGACCCAACAAGACACTTCACGTGTCAGGGTAACTATCGGCTTGTACAATTTATACTCACAATAGACATGAGATCATTCGAGCGAGCTTAACCTCGAGCAAACTCAAATTACGTCAGGTTTGCGCCAGGTTAGTAAACAAACATGACAGCTGCCTCGGCCCAGGTAACTGGCAGTAACTCATTAAGCTGCGGGCACCAGATCACACGTCTGAGCTAGCCGCAGGAACACGGCTCGCCTCCACCGGCACTCCAGCTTAGCACGTGACAGCCCCGACTGCCCCACGGCTTGCCAGTGCCACTTCATTTATGTCTTCTCCTGTCTACGGGGCACAGGCAAGGCATACTGCTTCCGCTAGAATGGCTCCGTGGAAAAATGAATCAATCGCTCCACAGACACGCTAGAAACAAGCCTCGCAAACAACACAAAAACGGCCTAGTCTCCAAAGGTCTAGCTGAAAACAAGGGCAAATACTCATTTATCTTTAATGAGATTGATAGATTAAGCAATGAAGCATTAAAATTTTCCGGCTTCTTTTTAAGCAAATAGCAGCCTGGTAGCAGTTTCACATAACACCTATCAAAGCTATTTTGAAACGCATTAAATGTATCAGATAAAGAGACAACACATACTGAAAAGCAAAAAAACCCCACATCACATTTTTCAGAGACTTATTAGCCTTCTATGCTACTAGGTAACAGACAGACTGTAACGGGCAAATCTCAAAACACTTGTGAAGTAAATGCTGCTTTTGTTTCTGTTAGGCATGAAGATTCCTACTGTCCTAAACTTTGGAAATGTCTCCTATATTTTGGAAGGTGAAAAAAATGTGCCACAAAAAATTTGTGAGAGCATTTCCAAGGTGTAGCAGTAGTAGAGTCACTATTTTTAAGGCCAGAAATGTCACTCTGTCTGATGTCCTGCAAAGCACATAGCAAGAAACACATTCACTTGGCAATTTCAGCAATAAGATCGTTCTCTTTAATTGACCCAGAACTTTTATTCTTTCTTTAATTATGTTAAGCATCAGACACTGCAGTATTTCTGTAACAGCAAAAGCAACTGATGTACAAACCAGTGCCTTTCTCCTAATACTACAAATACAAAATTGTCTTGGAAATGATGACTTAAATTTGCCAGTTCACTTTTTCTACATAAAGACAGCACCAAAAAGACTAAGAGATAACAGAGGCCATTCCCAATTTACTTCAAAATACTTCGACATCGTGCTACACACCTCGTAACTTCACTTAAAAAAGTTAGGTAAAGAAATTTTTGCATACGTCTATACATCTGTACAGTTTGGAGAGACACACTAGAGTCCTTCTGACAGTAGGATACCACATTCCATGCAGATCTGCTGGTGAAATCGTGGTCTGGTGCCTGGGATTAAGGGATTCTGATGAACCTGTTTAAAAGTAAAATATACACATGAAAAATTTGCCCACCTGCCCTTTCAACTGACAGACTGCGATATTGACTTTGAGCAACCTGCTCTAGTGGAAGGTGTCCCTGTCCATGGCAGGGGGGTTGGAACTAGATGGTCTTTAAGGTCCCTTCCAACCTAAACCATTCTGTGATTTTATGACTGTACTTTATACTGACTCCACAGTAGTTAAGACGTAATTTATTATACCCAAACAGGTTAGGGTTTTTGGTTTTGCCTTCTGAGCAGGCCAGTACTATATTTCTGATGTGTACAGAGAACACGGCTGTGAAAGACTAACTCGCTTTCAGGGATGGCCCAGCTTGAGCATATTCAATGAATTAGTTTTACAGGTATGTCCCTGATAACACACACACCCCTCTACTTAGCTCACAGGTGACATGATCAAACAATTACTGAAAAAAAACATAGGAGGAAAAAGAAAAAGAGTTAGTGATCGTGGAGCTACAGAAGATGCTCAAAGAAAACCCCAACAAACCACTCCACCAATTTACTACTTCATGCTTTCCTTTCTGCTGGGAATAATCCTGCATGGATTAAACAGCTGCAGAAAGCATAGAGTTTAAACATCACCTTAATAACCTCAAAAATAATGGGAAAAACATTTCTGTCATGAAGGGGTTGTAAACATTAAAAAAAAAAGTGTTCCTCCTGGGTAACCTTTGTAATAATTCTGCATGCTCAAAGTGGATTGTCACAAGACCTGACAGACAGAAATCTTGTATTATTTCCATTTTGCCCTTAAATCCTGAGAAACAGCAGAGTCAATAGCCTCAGAACTCTGACTACAATTAGCAACCATTCAAAAAAGTTAAATTTTTAAAGTTTTACCTGATAATGGAATAAGCCCCTGGGAAGTGTTTATGTGATCAGTATTGTCTAAAATAATTCAGCGCTATCTTTCTACCTTCTGCAACAATTAATTTATTGTCACAGTAATTAGAAAGCCTGTAAGACATTAGTTGTCAAGTTTGAGGTTCCTAGGCTATTTGTTAGTCACTTCAGCTACTCCAGCGAGCACGGAAATGGGAGAAAGGCACCTCTGAAGGGCAAATAATCCCAATTATCTCAGACACTTATCTTTACATTACACCACATAGGATCCTTCCCTCTCCTGAATGCAGGTGGGATTTACAGGACTTGCGAATGCCACGCACCTGGCTGGGAGCAAGATGAGCTCCACTCTCAAGGGGATTTGTGGAGTCCAGCTAGAAACAGCCAGAAAGAGCTTTGCAAGCCAAAAGAAACTACCAGGTAACCAAAAGGAATATGAGAAACCACTGACAAAGAGATGAAAAAGCTGCTGCTAGAAAAAATAAGACTGTACCGTGTCTGAACAATGATAAAATAAAGGGAGAAATTCTTCATGGATCTTAGACAAAAATTTAAGGGGTTGTAACGCTCAAATGATTGGCATCAAAAAAGACCACATCTCATGGAATTTGCTTCCAGTTCACTGTAATTTACAGGCACACGGGTCACACATTTTAAAAGTCAAGGGCAGTATTCTGAATTATTGTAAACAGCTAAAATTACTAAGTGGTTTCAGTAAGCGGAACCACATTCAAAAGAAAAAGTTGCCTTCCCAGGTACAGGCAGACACAAAGACACCCAAAGCATTCATTTAAGAGAATGCCTGACACAACGAACCACCCTTCTCGTCTTAGCACAGCTAACAAACAGAAGCATCCTTAAGTACACATCTTGAAGGTAGGGCTGCTTCGCAGTAGCGAATACAGGAGCTCAGTTTTATACACCGTACAGTAGATGCTGTCAGCTACAAAAGGAGTTGCTTCACAGAATGCATTCCACTGGAAGAAATGCCACCAAAAGAACAAGTTGCTTCTCATTCAAAAAAAAAACCCAGTTATTAAGAACCTGGAGACAAAGTTGACCTCTCAAAATCTTTTAAGAATTCCTCCAGGAAAATAACCCTTTAAGACACATGTGAGTTTCTCACCCAGGGTTCAAGTTCATGCTCACTCTCCGTGAGCTTTACGCATTAATATGACTACATTAGATGTATTTCCTACCAGATTTAACTAAGTTGCAGGACTCGGGATCTTCTAGCCGAACATCTGAAAACGAAGCTTCAGACGGCAGCTTCTTCTGTTCCTCTTTTAAACTCTGTGCAATTTGCTGCAGAGGAAGATACACCACAAAATTACCATTTTTTTTTCCTCCTTAATTAGAGCAGCAGTACACTGCTTTGATTACAAGAGAGAAAAGCACACTAAAATGCAAAAGGAGTCAGCTACAGTCAGCTCCCCAGTGTTTCAAAGACATTAAAAGACAGGTGTTTCCAGAACAGTAGCAGAAACATTTTACTATCAATTTAAGTATTACACAGATCTGTGTAAAGCGCTATTATTTCCGTTATGCCTGTTTTTACTGTTCTCTAAATAATAACCAGTGAAGCCACCTAGAAAGAGAAGGTCAAAATAAGGGAACCCAATTCAACACTCAACTACATACAGCTAATTTCTGTGATGCCTTTATTCCTATAAATTATGTGCAGATGGCCCCGAATTACACTCTAGTTTATTCCCTTCAGGAGATCTACAAAAACCTTTCCTCTAACATTACCCAACACTTCCACACTTCAACATTTTTCATTACTTGGTCCACTTCAAAGCAACAAGCAGCAGCAAGAATGGGCAAAGAACTGCATTAATATTTGAGCAGAACAGAACAAGAAATATTTCTGCCCTGTGCTTTTAACATTTTAATAATTCATTTACTCAGACAGAAGGTCTCTCTAAACAGCAAAGTTTTGAGGTTTGAAAGCAATCAAGTAGCAAAATGACTCTCAAACCAGGCAAAAAGTGGAGTCGTATGAGGGCATATGAAGAGCAGAGTAATTTTTCAACTTAGAATGAACTGTAAAACTCAATTTCTTCTTCTTCTAACTGAACAGCCACAGTACCCTAGTTAGAAAATAAGGCCTTGTGTAGACTAAGCATCTGCACTGCTTGCCTACAGAATCTAGAGCTAACATTAAAAAGTTCTCACAATCATTTTTAATGCAGTTCTAGGCACACAATTTTAGTAAAAAAAAAAAAAACCCACACTGAAAAAAACCCAACAAAACCTTTGTTTCTAATAGTTATACCAGTAAAACTTCTGCTCAGTAGCTGTTCTGAACAGAGGGATCCCATTAAGCTACATCATGTGTGGTGGGCTTCTCAATTACCATTTTTGCTTTTTCTTCAAAAGCTTTTTAGTCCTTAAACTTTCAGTATAAAGGGCAAGTATTCTACAAAATCCCTAGCTTCAGGATTTGTAAATGCTTTCCTAAAAACCTACCAGCACCCCTTATAATCACCAAAACAAACTAACATAATAAAAGCTTTAGACACGTGTAAAAACAAGACTATAGCAACGTGAAGTCACTACTAAGAAGTTTTTCAGTGTTTGGCTGTTTACAGGCCAGAATTGAACACAGTAAGGTACAGTTATACAATGCTGTTTTCTTCCAGACCATAGATAGATAGATATAAAGCTGCTGCATTTTATGTAAGTAATGCTCTGATTCTGAAGTCAAACACCTTCTCTATCAACTGGTCAGCTGCAACAAAGTCCTACAATTTTGGAAGCATCACCAGCTATTCTGCTAAATAGATGGAAAACAGAATAGAGCAATAAAATTTGGATCTTGCCAGTCCGATGTCGTTCTTAGTCAACTGAATCCTTTGACAGCTTGGACAGCTCATTATAAGGTGAATGGCAAGTTATTTGGGGGGAATCTTTATTATGCTTAATCTTTTCCATGCAAAGCTATCTTTCAGTTGAATATCAAATGCAGCTTGCTCTAGTCAAAAACTAATTTCAAGTCTTCCATCAGGCACTTTTTTATTTCTGAGTCGTTTCATACTGAAATCTTTCATCAATACAGTATTAACCTTTTAAATTAAGTAGAATTAATTTGATTCAACAGGAACATTCCCTCATAGGGCTTGGAATGACTACAAAAATGGTTAATAATGACTTGAAAAAGGCTACTGGAAACTATTGCTGACATGTTAAATTATCCAAAGGTACAAGAAAGTCTCCCCTCACACAGTCTAAGCATAGTGTACACGCACGTGTTCCAAAAACTCTGCCTGTCTAAAGCTTCTTTTCAATCCCAGCTCAACTAGAAAATACACCGGGCAATACCTACTACTTGTGAAAGTAAATAAAAGTTTACTGTTATGAGAGAAAATTTTAAAACTTCAGGTTTAAATAAAACTGTCAACTGTGAGAACTACCACCAGTTTTACTGAGTTTGAGATAAGGTGTTCTCTGATATCTAGTTAGGGTCATAATTTGATCAGCAGGTGCCAATTTGATAGTGCTAGTAATACTAAATACACTAAATTCTCTTCACTGAATGGGTTGTCAGGCATGAAACAGGCTGCCCGGGGAGGTGGTTGAGTCATCATCCCTCTAGGTATTTAAGAGATGTGTGGTTTGGTGGTGGTATTTGCAGTGCTAGGTTAGCGTTGGACTTGATGACCTTTAAAGGTCTTTTCCAACCTAAAAGATTCTATGATTCTGTTTTATAAGAACTGGAAATCCGCAAAGCACTATACTGCACAGTTGTATATACCGCTTATAAAAAGAAAACCAACCAAGAACAACAGAAAAAGATGATGCTGTACCTCCATCATTTCCAACTTGTCAGGGTATGCAAGATCACCTGGGGCAGGCTTGTAGCCTGTGATATCAGTCTGAATGTAAATATGCGTCCTATAGACAAGACGCTCCTGCACATCTTCTAACATCTGCTTGACACCAGCTGCAAAGGCACCCAGTTGTTCAGCTGACAAAGGTGGAAAAAAAAAGGAACGAACCTGTTAATTAAATTACAAAACAAGGCACAAAAGTTTGAAGTATCACATACAGAACTGTCACAAAACTGGCTTGCTGCAGATGAAGTCAGACTGGTTTTGGAACAGCGGCATGCAGACACATTTCTGACAAGCAAGGAGCTACTGATTCACAGATTCACAGAGTGGTAGGGGTTGGAAGGGACCTCTAGAGATCATCTAGTCCAACCCCCCTGCCACAGCAGGATCACCTAGAGCAGACCAAGCTACCCAAATTTTCATTAGACTGTGAAAACGCTATCTCACACTGATAACATCAGACAGCACGTTAGAATTAAGCATTCCAGTTATGTGAGACCTGGGTACGTCAAGTGGTATTTCTGCCTGGACACCAAACCCACGTGCTTTGGTTGTTTCACAGCCAATGCTTGCAGTGTGACTGACTCTCAGAGCTGACAAGCTAACTCATCCACCTTCCTACCACAACCAATGACACAAAGCAGCTCACGTCCAACTTAAACTTAGGCTGATACAATAGTTTTTAAGTAGTAGAAATTCACTTCTCAAGGTTAGCCAAATGTTATGTCACCCTTTTTTCCCTATTCCCAAGAGTGTTACAAGCCTACTTCCAGGAAAACGAGCAATTCTTCTTGATCTCGGCACAGCTCCAGAGACAAAGAGCTATGCTGTGCCCACCCCCTCTTGTTTTATTCCCAGCAGGACAAGGAATGCTGGTTAATGTGCTGGCCCCCTCATTTGGTGAGGCCTTGGATGGTGACTGTTCTGCACTGGCAAGTCCCACAGGGCTGGGTCCTCCCTGGGACATTTATCCATTATCCCTGGATGTCTTCAAGGCCAGGCTGGATGTGGCTTTGAACAACCTGGTCTAGTGCAAGGTGTCCCTGCCCATGGCAGAGGGGTTGGAACGAGATGGTTTTTAAGGTCCCTTCCAACCCAAACCATTCTGTGATTCTATGATATACCAGCTACCAAGTATGATTTCTGTTCATCACTGGTGCAAGGTAAAGACTGGGTAATTATTCCGTTACGTACTGGTCGTAATAAGGAAATGAGATACCAGATTTTTTTTCTGATGGTCAACTCACTTCTATGAGACTACAAGCTCTGAACACGTCCAAACCTCCAAACTCTCTATCAGCTACGTAACTCCTCTGAAGTTACAATTTCTAGTCTGGGAAACACTATGCCAAGGAGAATGAAAAAGTCATGCTTGCGTTTCTCTGGTTTACCCTCACGTAGGCAGCAGGAAGCTCTACGTGGATGATGCATTAACAGGGCCAAGCGAAGCAATTCATTCATCTGAAAAGCTGGTTTAAATCAATCCAGGTGCACGTATGCACGCAAGGTGGGCGTCTGCTTGCATATACAGACCCATAAATACAGACCTTTCTATTATAAATTAAAAAAACATAATTTATTTAAAATAACCTTACCCCATCTTTGACATGTTTAAGACCCATTACAAAGAAAAAATCCAAGTATTTTTTTGCCTATGCATTTAATAATTTTATCATTTAACAGTTAAACACAATCAGGTTCCATCTCTGAGTTACCATTGTTCTGTACATGATCTTCAAGCATCTCATTTTTGAGAATCCCGCAGAGTTCAGAAAGTGTCTCTAAGTGAATGACGTGGATGATCATTGGCCTCAGGACATCATACAACGAAAGACATAACTTCTCCAAGAGTTCACTATGAAGAAAAAAATAAAACAAAGCAAAATACTTTTAGGATCCCACAATACAAAAATAACATTATCACAAACATGGATTATTTTATGGCAAGGATTATTAAAAGGTGGGTAAGAATACAATGCAACACGGTATCACAGAACAGTTTGGGTTGGAAGGGACCCTAAAGACCATCTAGTTCCAACCCCCCTGCCATGGGCAGGGACACCTTCCACTAGACCAGGTTGCTCAAAGCCTCATCCAGCCTGGCCTTGAACACCTCCAGGGATGGGGCATCCACAGCTTCTTTGGGCAACTGGTTCCAGTATCACAGAAGACTTAACAAGACTTACATGTTTAAAACATGAACCCCTGATTTTCTACAAAGTCTTTTAAGAGATGTAGGATACCAACTGTTTAAGACAGTGGTACAGTTTTGAACACATTTTAAAATGTATTTAAAAAAAAAAAAAAGGCAAGTGAAAAAACAACTAAAAACTCAACCTGTCCCCAATGGAAGGTTTACCTGGCAAACTGGTTTACCTGGCTTTTGTGTAAAGAAATGCTCCTGCTGAGGTAAAAATCCTACACCCCCAATCTCCCATTGAGAAAAGACTCATCTGACTCCAAGTGCTTAATAGTTTATTGAAACCATGAGCATGTGAAGAGGGACGGACACAGGAGGAGAAGCTTGGGAACCTTTTCTGTAACAGGTTCCAACACTGCAAAGCACACAAGCCAATCTAACTGAAGTTAGGGTATCAATGCAGTATGAAACACCAGGAATCCCACTTCGATTTGTTTTTTTCTTTCCTGTTCAAAGCGATGCCTATCTTGGCTAAGACACCAGTAACATTCATTCTAGAGATTTTTGCCATTCTCAGTGCTCCCTTCACTAATCACAGATTAGATAATAATTAATAAAATAGATAATACTGTTGCCAGTAGCTGAAAATTCAAGTCATTCCCCAGTTAGACTTAGAAACATAAATATTAAAAATGCCTAAGTAATTACAGTGTGGTACAGTTGTAGAGTTTTTTGCCCATCTCTTCTAATTCACAAAGAATACCTGACAACAGGAAGTAATTACAGTGTGGTACAGTTGAAGAGTTTTTTGCCCATCTCTTTTTTTCTAATTCACAAAGAATGTCTGACAACAGAAGGACATTCAGTTTCATATTCAGTTCACAGAATAAACATTTGTAATGTCTCTCTTCTGTTGTATTCTATAGCTTTACAAGCAACTTGATAGAACAGGAACTCTCCATGTTAAAAGCAGAAACAAAGAAAAAGTTTATTCAGCCTTATTAAATACAACACTAAACCTCAGATCTCCAGCCTTGGCTAGATTTTTGGTAAGCTCCTATCTGTACACAGACACCTAGCTATTATGTCTTCAGAGCACCACAGCGCTTCAGAGAAAAAAAATGAGGCTACTACTATGCAGCTAAGAGAAACCTAAAAGTAGTTACTATTTGAAACATTCTCCTCAGAATATTTTATTTACGATAGGCAAAAAGGGGAAGCAAGTTCTTACAAAAGGACGTAACTACTTTCCATCAAGATTCAAAAACAATCCGAAATCCAGTCTCATTCTTGGTGTGAAAAGTAACAGTGACAAAATTTCAGTCTGAGCATTTTACACTGATTTCACTTTGGGATGTTTACTTCAGGATTTGGAAAGAGATCACTAAATCGGTTCTTCAGCCAAATCAGTCACGTCACCTCAAACCCCGAGCATGTCCCACACGAGACCCCAATTTCTCAGAAAAGAGAAAGACTGCTTGCACTATGGCTTATTTCTAGTGAAGCTTTATGCCTTCATGGTTTTCCTTTAGCTTCAGAGCACGGGGGGGGTAGTGAGCAGTATTTTCCATGTTACACTTACTCGACTCAAGCTGTGCTTGATTTTAGGGTAATGCAACACTCAAAACCAGTGTCTTGGTTATATTAATAGGAAACTACTTTATTTATGAACTTCAGAGCAAGGGAACATGACCTGTCAAAATCTCAAACAGTCATTATTAAAACATACCAACAAATTGGAGTAGGTGCATAAGCTACTCAACTGCTCTAATATTACTCTGTTGTAAAAAACTTACAATATTTTTATAATGCAATTGCCATGCGAAGACAATCTGTCCCCTTCTAGATCTAGACACAGACACTGTTCTTGTCAGGTGTCCACTACACTCTGCCTTCTGTTCAGCCCACATACAGGCACATGCAAATATCCCTTGTCAGTAAGGGCAGCTTGCTCACCCTAAAGCCTCGGTGAAAAACAGCCAGAGTTCATCAGCTTAATTTTACACTGAAGTAAATGAAGAGTACTTCTGCAACTGACTGTGCAAACCGCTGGCACACAGGCAGTACAAAACCAGACCCAAACCATAGCACTGTAAACTTCTACAGCTACTTCCAAAGCAACCATGTGTCTTTACCTCTTTCAGACCATCTAGAGAGCATTTACATTACTCAGATTGCTTGTGGAGAATGTAAACTATCAGCTTTGCTTAAAAAAAAGTTAGAAAAATTTAAAACAACAACAAATTCTGATGTATAAAACAATTAAGATTGTTCTTCTTGCTAAGTCTCACCAAACCCCTTCAATACAACCCTATTTGCCACATAAGACTGTCTGCTGTATCACAGCATCGTAAATACAGCACGCAGTAAAACAAAACCAGCATGTACCACCTACTCCAGTTTTGGTGTTGGTTTTGTGAAGAACTCATTGTAAAGCTGGTGTTCATCCTGGCATACATGGACCATAAAGGCGCAACCACTTCGCACCTGTATCCACAGAAATACAAATACTTGATTATTAAATTGTTTTCCTTGCACTGGTAGCACAGGATATATTACACATTGTTATTATATATTATATCATTACATTATATGTTTTATTATTGTTACATCCACGATTAAATTAAAGTTTTGTGAAATTAAAAATTATTGAGGTCAGCTATAAAACTAAGGACTGGAAAGACATTACTAGCCAAATACAAGCTCACTGTGCAGTTTCTGTCCTGTGTTTCTGATGAAATTTAAGTAACCACGTTTCATGCTTTTGCAAATACCCCTTTTGTGAGGTTTGTAGCAGAGCTTTTACAGAATAATCTTTCACAAAACATGCGTTACTTGACAATATGGCTAACATTTTACTGATTCAAAACCACAATCAAAAGTGACAATTCTGCATGTAAACGACTGAATTAAATAAGTACATTTTACTTGGGGAAAGGAGGGATTAAAACGTAACAAAATTCCCACAACACATGACTACTTTACCTACCAGAGCACAATGATCTCTATTGTTCTGACTGGTTAATTCTGTAACAGTGCTAGCAATGCTTGGCCCAAGCAAAAGCTCCCTCTGGTCAAGGTAACACTGATGGATTTCATTGAGAACTTGCTGATACCTAGCCAAGAAATTAAAACAGTAACTGCATCCTGAAGTACATTTTCTTTTAAACATATAGGTTCCTGACTAAAACCAGCACATACCCATTTTAGGGCTACATAGTTTCAATTTTTAAAATTTTCTTTTAAACAAATAAGGTGTTAAATGATACTTTAACAAAACTAAAGAGTTTCAAAATTTAAAATTGTTGAAAATAAGTTACGTAGACATACTCACTCAGGCATTTTTTCAGCTCTTTGCTCTACTTGTTCAATAAGAGTCTAGACAATAAAAAGATAAAAGTATTACCTGTAATTTTTTTTTTTCTAATAATTGGGAAATAGTTTACAGCATTTTTCCATGGCCAGAATACGCAATCTTTGGGGACATTCACACTTGCACAATATTCAATCCTTGCATTCACACTACTAATCACTTCAAACCCCATTTTCATAGCTTCCTTTTTAACAGTTAGTTACCACTCTACCTACCCTGACTTTGGGAGCAGCTGCCCTGAATTTTACATAGAACAGCGTGAAGGCATTGTCACAATTTGGCACAGCCGAAGGATCCTGAAAGAAGAGAGGAGTAATTAGTTTAAAAGGAGAACACTCTATTTGCCTTCTACTATTTAATGGCTGAGATAATTAGGCTCTAAACCTGGGTATTGGTTCTTTACATGTACACTGCCAGTGGAACAGCTCTTTGCGTCTTTCCACCTAGAAATCCATGCTTGTTTCAGAACTCTGATAAAAGCAGATGGAAGAACAAAACCCAAACCAAAAGTTTCAACCAACCGTGTCTACAGCAAAAGTAACATTTTCAGTTAATTATAGCATTCTCCATTAGAGACACCAATTTTCCCTGGGCCTGTCCCAGCAGTACTACTGACTGTTGCTCCTTAATCTGTAGCACTAAAATGGAACAATCTCCCTTTTACCTACCAGTCCCAGGGTGGAGAAGCTTAAGCTTCAGCTCACATTTAATTTTGAACTGGAATGCCAAGTTTTGAGGCAGTTTCCCAGCTTACATGGGCAGACAGCTTGAACTCAGATAAATTCTAGCACTAACAGAGCAGAGCGGAGACCCAGCTTAGTCACCAGGCTTTCTTCCCCTTATCTCTGCTGATGACAGGGAGAAGCAGTTGGCATTCCCTTGAAATAGAGTGGGGACAGGAACACTCTTCCACCTTCTCCACTTCCAACTTTCATCCCTGACCACCCTTCTACAAACACGAATCAAAATCCGCAAACACCCAGTGTGAGGAGGAACAAAGAACATCTAGACCTTCTCAGTCCCACTCGAGTCCTGACAAGACCCTCTGTTGCACTGAGTAGGACCTCCTAAAAAAGGTCTCCTTCCTGACTTAAAACTGCTAAGCAGCAATTCAAATCCAAAAATAAGGTTTCACTTCTCTGATAATAAGCATGTCTACAAAAAGATGATCAAGTCTGCTTGAATTCAGCTCAGTCATGGCAATCCATTGGCATCAAACCAAGCTATGATACCTTTTTTTAAAAAAATAAAAACTAGTTTTGTACCAAACATGAAAAACGCTCAATGCTGCTTAACCAAGATCTTCAGTAGAGGAATATCCTTTAGCAAGTTGCCATGAACACTGTCCAAAACCCGGTTCTCTTAGGTCTGTCAGTTCGCAATTCTAGCATCTTTGAATTTCACTGGTTATCATAGAATCACAGAAAGGTTTAGGTTGGAAGGGACCTTAAAGATCATCTAGTTCCAACCCCCCTGCCATGGACAGGGACACCTCATGACCAGTTTGCCTGTAATAGGACTGAGCATAAGCCATACAGCAATTAATTGGAGAAAGTAAGTGGGTAGAAAGAGACATTCTCCTCTCCTTTCTCCTCTGCCAAAATACTGCAGCATAAGACCATTAACATTTTAATGAGACCAAAAGACTTCCCTACTCACCTTTATGCCTAAACCCCACTGGAGTGAGTGGGAGTAAATCACTTAACCCTCTAACATAGTTTCCAACATTTTAAAACTAAGCAAAAGATACTGCCAAAAGAGTAGGAGCCTGTCACAGTTATTCTTTGCGGCTACACAAAGCCCTGCAGACATCAAAAAGAAATATTTAGATGACTAAGAGCACTCAAAAATACTTACTGGAACGTAACACTGAGAGAGTCATGTCATAAACTCAGAGTTGTTGTGCTTTAACAGTTTTCATCCTACGACACCCAGCTCCTGTACACTTTCTTCACGTATTCCCTGCAACCCCTCTCTGTCTCTAACAATCCATGTCCAGAACAGACACCCACAGTACCAGTATTTCTCTTGTGCACCCTCCTCCCCATCTGGAAGCACAGACAGCAGCATGCACTGCGGCTGATTCAGCACTACAGTGCACAGACTGGTTCAGGAAAGCCCAGCTGGTTCCTGCCTCTCCAACACAGTCATTTATCCATCCCTAGCCTTCCCTGAGGTTATTGCTCACCTACTTCACCTTCCTCAGATTCCAGGATTTTTTAATTAATACTATTTTTAAATCCTTTGAATCACTAGGTCTCTGTCAGATTTGGCTGAAACTTGGCCAATCTACACAAACACTGGTATAGGGCTGACCTATTTTCACACAAAATCGCTGACACCTTCCACCCTCAAAAAAAAAAGAGAAGAAAAGAGTATAGTGTTACAACAGACATTTCAGTATAGCTCAAGTTACCACTTCCTGATTCACCTTACCCTTTTCATTAGCTGGTTTGTGAGGTTCTGTAGTGTATTCACAGTGTATGTCTTGATAAGGTGCATAGCTTTAGAAAGGCATTGTTTAAACTTAACCAAATATACAGGATAGTCTTTAAAATTTGGCTGAAAGAAATAAAAAATTCATTTTAAATAATTAACAACACGAGAGTTGAAAATGTATCAAAACTCCAAACACTCTTTTTATGATATAAAAATGCTAGCTTGCACAAATTAAGAGCAATATTTTCTAAAAATTAAACAGAATATTAAGCATATTCAGTAAAACTTTCTTAAGTTTATAAAGAGTTATAACTTAAGTTATAAACTGACATCTTTGCTTGGCAGAGAGAACAGTCTACAGAAAAAAAAAACACCACAAAAATAGTATGAATACAGTTTTGAAACTATTAAGATTTAATAAAAAACAATACATAATTACTTACATGTGATGAAATATATGCAATACAATCATCAAGCTTAGCCAGCATGGGAACGAATCCTTCACTATTCACGGACAGCGTAGGGGAATTCAATTTCTTTGGAAAACAAGACAAAGCCTCATTGTAAGAAACCCAAGTAACTTAGTGTTGGCATCAAAGATAAAAAAAAAAAAAAAGTGTACCAATCTTTTGAACTATTAACAGTGAAATAATACTTACTGTGTTGATGTTTTCCAGCTCATTAAAATAAGAAAGTTTCTGCTGGATGTTTTCAGCCAGGTCGACAAGTTCTGACTATTAGATAAATAAATAAATGAATCAGCAACCTTGCAAGTAGTTTAAATATACATTCTTATGTGTAACATGTATATAAAATTATTCAGCCTCCCTTTCAGCTGTCAGCACACACCAGTGTTAACTAGATAACTTGCAACTAATTAAGTACAACAAAAGATGCGGAATAGAGCAGTGCCCTCCTGCTCTCTCTTACCAGAGAAAGACACATTACTCTCAACAGTGGGTTTAAAAACATATATTCTACAGGTTTGTCAGCATTCCACAGATACTACTGCAAACAAAGAGCAATGCTGCCATCAGTACTGCAGAGAACTGCAGAAATCCTGTATTTCAGGACTGGAGCCTTTCAAAGTTCTCCCTTATCCAGTCATGCTAAAAGGACATGTTCATTTTATCACTGCTGGAGCAGTTACGAGGAGAAAGAAAGTATCCAGGAAACAAGCTTGTAACTTCAAACCAAACATTGTTCTTGCAATAACCAGCTCAAAATGTTTCTGTAAGTGATACGAATTATTAATCTCACTAAAGTTTGCACTTGTCAGGCATCAGTTACAAAAGCTCCCCTCAGCTAGCTATCCTCCTTGACTAGAGTATGCATCAACACATACTGAACGCTTCACTGTGGAGAGCCTGAGACCCTAGCTGCAGGTGAAACACACCAAAACCAAGGTCCAAGGCAAACGGAGGGAACATCACCACAGCTCACAGGTTTTTCCAGCCTGAGAAAAAGAAACTTTCATTTATGGTATCTCAGAAGTTTCCAGTATTTCTCCCATCATTACCTGCTCTTTCAGAAGCTGTTCACAGGCCTCATGCAGCGTTCCTGTCTTCGTGGACACAAACAGATACTGTTTTTGCAGTGACTCCAGGTGCTGAAGGGCACTATTCACATCATTCAAGATAGCATCACACTGCTCCTGAAAGCCAGACAAGTAATCCCTCATCTGTCTAGAAAAAGAGAATCGACAGATAGCAGAAGTAAAAATTCACTTTCTGTATTTGTAAATTCAGCTGCCTGCAGGGACACTGCCACTACCTTTCCCTCCTAGGAATAAAAGACCACTTGCATCAAGAAGGACTGCACAATAAGCAGATGTTTCACGACCCACAGAAATAACAGAGCTATGGGGTTGGGAATAGCCACTAGTTACCTCCATTTCCCCAACACCCCTTGTAGCAAGCCTACCCAGAAAGCAACAGCATGCCCCACAGCTAGCCTAGAGCACGCAAATACTATCTAAATGAACAGCACAAAGATAGTGACTGCTGCAGGCAGCCAAATTCTACCTGCCTTGCTTCCAACAGGGGCATTAATTTGGGTTTCTTCTTCTATACAATTTTTAGTTTCCATTCAGAATTTACTTTTACTTTCCTAAAGTAGCTGAAATTATCTGGAGGATTTAAAACATACTGTGAGGATTGAAAGAGGCTTAAATGAAATCAACCCACTATCTAACATCACCAAGTTTGTTTAAGGCTCCATACAGATATAAATTCTAAATGATCCCTGTATATACATCAAGCATTCAGCTTGACAAAAACGTATTTTAAAATGAATTTCTCTTGGATGTCACCTAAAACATCTGAGCTCTACTTTACCATATACAAAGCAGCACAAAAAATCATCGTTCTCTGTAGTCACGTGCAACTCTTCAGTGCACAACAGGTAAAGAACTTACATATTTTCCTCCTGCTGCTCTGGCCTCCTGCAAACAATTACATATTGGCCATCCTACAAACCACTCCACATCCACGGCACAATTAAGTATCTGTGCACGCTACAATGAACATGCCAACAGACAAAGTGCAAGGATGCTACTCTTTTTAGGTTGTTAATGATCTGATCATAGGCTTAGTACATGCCTAAACCTTTGCTTTTAAGAAAAGTCACGTCCTCAAATGTCAGAGCAAGAGAGGAAGAAACAGGCAGAAGAAAAGCAGAAGAGGGGGATGCAACAGCATCACTCTGTAGCCAAGGGCAAGTCGGTAAAGTCTCAAAACACAAGCCAGTTTCCGTAAAAGCTATCAGCAGGTTTGGCTAAGCCATTCAGCTGTGCTTCAGGCTCTTGAGGATTAACAGCACAGGTCAGTGGGAAGGGGTTCTGAGCCTGACAGAACAGTCAGTTAGACAAAAATAGATGAGAAAGCCAAGTCTCAAAACTAGAGCTGAGCAACATGTCAGGGAATGCAGATACACAATCACAGTCACTGGTGAACCGAACAGCGACAGCAGAAATGACCACCAGACAAACCTGCTTACACGCCTCACCCTCAGAGAATGCCATTTCAACAGCAGCAGCAGTTGAAAAGGCACATGAAAGCTCTTAGACTGCCTCTGTCTGCAGTCCTGTTTATAAGGCAAAACTAATTTCAAGCTGTCTTAATATACTGGGCAGATCTGAAGGAAATCTGCGTCCCTTCTAACTGCTCTGCCACAAGGGTGATAGCTTTCAGGCCGAGAGTGCAGCATCTTGCCTTGGAAAGCTTCAGCTGTTCAAACACATATCCCCATTCCCCGCCAGCTGAATCCAAGTGCGTGCCAACATTATAGGGACAAAATAAAGCCCTTCAAGGTTTAAATTGCTTACAGCGAAAGGACCTGAGGAAGAACACATACCTATACTTGGCACCTTCATCTTGATCCATCTGTGTTTGTACCTGAGCAAACCAGGAGAAGAACTAGAAGAGATTTTATGGTGTGAACAATACAGGTATTACACGCAGGCAATTAAAATAAAAATTAAATATGATATTAAGATAAGCTTTTGTTGAAAACAGAGCTGTTTCACAACTTTATTATTAATCAAGGAAAGAAGTTATCACTCCTCGCTGTAAGTCCCTTCCAACTGAAATATACTATTCCTCCACTAAATTAAAATGGGAAAGACTGGATTTCATCTAGTTTTATTTGCAAAAGAACAAGGCTGTCACATTAGAAAGGGGGGCAGGGGGCACAACATTCTTTTATATTATGAGCAACACCACCTTACTAAAGGGAGTGCCTTACTCTCACATAAGACTCCACTCAAAATGGGAAAGTATCTGTCACCCAAAAGCTAAGACTTCAACAATTTCCCCCCCCCAAGTTTCTTTTCCTGCATCTTAAAAACAGCCCAAAAATTTTAAATAAACCCACCAAAAGCTAGGCAAAAAGACAGAGAAATTCACAGAATTCTCTGAAGATTCCTGCAACCCGGAGGTTATCCAGCATCACTTACCTGCTGTGCTGTTTCAATTCTTTCATCTTCCATCCCCAGCACGGCAAATCCTTTCAAGAGGACATCCTCTGTGGATTCTGGCACCGCAGCCGTCAGCGTAACAGTTAGCGACTGGGATGTCAGGCTGCACAAATCTTCAATTGGAAGCTGCTCATAAAAACCCACAAACTCCACTTAGAGAACTTACTCAGAATTAGTATGTTTGGCTCAACTACAACACAATCCAAAGCATCAACTTGAGAACATTACAGGCAACTGCTTTTGAAGAAACAAATGCAATGGACATTTTATCTAACAGCTTGATAATAGACCAACACCTACCATATCTATACATTCAAAAAAACTTAATTGGTTGCTGGGGGTTTGTTTTAGTTTAAATCAGAAGATATCATACAGCATTTTATAAAAGTATAAGTTTGTGTAAGAACAGAAATTGAATGTACGTGTACCTGGCATACTGGTGAGCTATACTTCATTTTCCAATTTTACTGGCTCTATACCCAGAGAAATGCACTAGAAAAGCATCTGAGAACATAAGAACGCACGCAGAAGCAAAAACAAATGCCACTATTGTCTACACTACATGGCATCATCACCGTACAGCAAATCATCAGATTGTTTTTTGCCAGATATTCAGAGAAAATTCAAGACTTAACACTGCCAGAATTTACTCAGAAAGTAGTGTTGCATATTGTTTCAAATGCTTCTTAAATGAGGAAGTCAAACTAAAAAGAGAGGCTTTTTTAGAAGACAAGGAATAGTTCTGCTGAATGGGAATTATTGGCCACAGTTTTTTAAAGCACAAGAAACATGGAAAAAAGAAACTTGAGACAAATTGTATTCAACTATGATTGGAGACTATTAATTAGCTTATATGGAAGAATGTAATTCAAGAAAACAAATATCATTATAAACTCTTAATTACTTTAACACCCTTTTTAATTCAGTTGATGAGTAAAGTATGTTTTCTATTGCTAAGAAAATCACTAACATAAAACCAGAAAACAATACTTAGTGACATGGATGGTGGGATTGA